GGAGAATTATGTTGTAAGGGACGAGGTTAATTAATTGTTTACTGTTAACCGAAAGGGTTGCTGCAATTTTGTGATTATTGCCGTAGATGTATCAGGTCAGAGAGCGATTTATTGACCTTGGCCTGGTCGCCATTACCATGACAGCCAACGCAGCACTGCGCTTTGAATAAATTATTACTTGTAGTTTTGGTAGTAATAAAGGTAGCTTATGACGTCACTGTCGAATTTGATGGGATATATGGAGGAAGTAAGAAAAAAAAAGACGACGGGGGGAGGCAGGTACAGACAAGGCCTATATGTATACTTATATAGGCCTTGGATACAAGTGCTTAAGCTAATTCGGAAAAATGGTACATAAGGGCTAGAGCTTAGCTGCGTTGGAATTTACACCAGTAAGATTACTACTACTGATAAAAGTATGCAAATTGTTTGGAAAATGTTAACATAATGGGATCCTTTAAGACAGCACCGGTACACGAGTTTTTCTTTGTTGCGGCTTGCCAGGTTATATTAAGGTTCGATTTCACTGTCTATAATAAAAGTTTAAAGGTAAAAGTTTTAATGTGAAGTTTAATGGTCGTTGAGTCCTCACCTCACAATCAGTCTCCCCTCCTCCAATGTGATAATACTGATATGATTTATAGAATAGAATAGTCATATACGGGGATGAAACTGCCAAGCTGCCCTACCTGTTTTTTTTTAACGTTGGCACGATACTGACACTAGTCCCCACGTGCCAAAAACTTATGGCAGCGGTGGGATTCGAACCCACGCCTCCGAAGAGACTGGTGCCTTAAACCAGCGCCTTAGACCGCTCGGCCACGCTACCGATAAAGGGCGTGCGACGGTAGACATATTAGTTTTGCAATCCCCCCCCCCGCGCCATATGCATACCTTCAACATGATTTTAAAAACTTGCTGTTATTAGGAAATTCTTGGCATAAGAGTATGAATGATTAATCTATGCTGTAGGGCCTTTATTCCCCATATTGAGAAAGATCGTATGAAAATGACATATCTCATCTTTATCTTCTCAGACCTCCTCGTGGGTCTTACAATGAACACAAACAGTCCACAGGTGACGGCCCAAATAATGCCTTTCTTATGCGTGACGTTACTTGTTTCGCACTGACACCCGCTCATTAAACACTGGAGCACATCCATGTCGTTGTTGTAATGAATTTTAAGCAGTATAATGATATTGTGGAATGTATTTGCAATGTTTCGCTTTATACAGTCAAACGACAAAAACTAGTATAGAAAATTATGGTGTGTGTGTGTGATCATGTGTAGTTAAAAAACGTTCTTGAAAATGTTGTATTCGCTGATTTTATGCGATGTACAAACCTTTGTATTTCCTTAGAATGAGTTTATTGGAGAAGTTAAATGTGTCCGACGAGGCTTAGCACTTTCAGCATTTTGATAAAACAGACATTTTAGTATTTCCTGAAAAAAGAACACACGAAATCTTTGAAATAAAGTAGATTCTCCATTTTGAGATTGGCTGATTTGAATACCAGATTATGAATAAAGCTGTTAAATGACTTGATTTATGAGCAGGGTAAAAGCGACTCCCATCATTGGTTCCCTATATGTATCGATTCCTCTCAGTTGCCATGTATTGACGTCACAATAAATGTTTTCATCATGAAAACAGTTCCCTTGATAAAGATGTTAGTTAGTGAACTTTTAAATGCAATCCTTATTTTATCTATCGTTAAGAAGCTGAGTGCCTTTATTATCAACTTTAGCGCCTGTTCATTTAGTCTTGTATTGAGAAAAGGTTGAAGGTTGCCTATCTAGAAGAATGAATGGCAAAGGAGATAATGATTGATCTTTCGTTCGTGGCCGGTGTGATGCTGATATTTTCGTATCTTATAGTTGCAGGGTCAGGTGAGATGAGGAAAAGGAAAAGTTATCTGTGACTATTGGCCAAGGGGAATATCAGATACAGTATCGCGTATTACCAAGTGTAGTAGATATCTAGTTGTGTGTTCTAATGAACTTCGTGGTCATATTATTCTAAGAAACCGCTGTCACAAGAAACAAAAGACGAACTATCAAAATCGTGTTATACTTATGATATAGACACCATTGTGTTTCAATTGCATTCACTTTATCCGTTTCAGAAAGGATAGCTTTATACTAAAAGGCGATGATGTTACATTAGTGTCCTTTGAGTTTCATTTCTGTCTGACCTCGCCACTGACCTTAGATGTCGTTGGGTCAGGTCAATTTTGTATAATCTTATGCCGCTGACACGTGGCAGGGATCACTTATCTTATAGACACAGTTGATGAATATTTGACCTTTTAAATGTGATTCGAGTCAGTATCCACAAAACGCGAATCATACATATGCGATAGATATAAAATATTACGCAGTGAATAGCATGAAACAAGCTTAATAATGAAGTGGTCTTCGAAGTATTTGCTTTCCATTGAAGTTCATTGAATAAGAAATCGCAGTAATTTTTTTTGTCGATATTAGGTGGTATGTT